ATATTTTTTAATTATAAATTAATGTACAAAAAAAATATTATAATCACTTAATGTTATTAAAGGTAAAAAAAATTGAAATTTATTAGATAAATATTAATTAAAAATGTGACCAAAAATTAAAAAATTAAAAAAGATAAATTTATCAATAAAATTAAAAAATTCTAATCCATTGGCAGTTTGGTACAAAAAACTCCATAAATTAGCTTTTTCAATCCGCTAGTGGTTTAAACCCTAACCGCTATCCACTAGTCTCAAACCACTAAATAAAAATTTTACCAAACATTTTATTTGTAACGGTTTCGAAATATATAAATTTACCAAATACCTATATTTAGCGGTTTAGGTAAAACCGCTAACCGCTACCCTAAAACCACTATACTAAACGGGTCTTTAGTACAAAAAGTTACATAAACTAGCTTTTTCAATCCACTAAGGATCCTAATCGCTATCCGTTAGTTTCAAACCATTAAATAAAAATTTTACCAAACACTTTATTTGTAGCGATTTCAAAATATATAAATTTACCAAACACTTATATTTAGCGGTTTAGATAAAACCACTAACCGCTATTCCAAAACCACTATACCAAATGGGCCCGTAGTGTCAGTTAAATATTTTCATTTAGATCAAACATAATATCTGTTGAATATTTGTTTGTATAAAAATATTAAGTTAATTAATATAGGGTTTGTCTAATTAACTTGTGATAAATGTATTTTTTTTGTAATTAATTCACATTAAAAATTATAAAAATTAATATATATTTTAATATTACTGACATGTTAATTAATTCTTTTTATTCATGAGTTTATTTAACTTATATCTTAAAGACACAAATTAAGAATGTGATAAATGTATTTTTTTTGTAATTAATTCACATTAAAAATTATAAAAATTAATATATATTTTAATATTACTGACATGTGAATGATTTTAAATCAAAATTAACATTTATATTTTTAATAAAAATTAATTATGAAAAAGTGCATTTAATTGTACCATTATCTTATGCCTTAAGTGCACAGGATAGAAAAATCCATTAATATAAAGTTGTTGAAAAGTTGAGTAACTACAAATAACCAGATGGGGTAACGTATAGTTGTAAAGCTATGAATTTTTGTTTAAAATCAAACTTAAGCATATTCAATGTAAAATATATTATTCTTCAAAAATTTTGGTAATTATTGAATAATTAACTAACTTTATTTGTGGGAAAAAAATAAAAAATCTAAAAAAATGTACTAAATTTAGGAAGATATAAAAAATTTATATAGATATGATAAGAAATAGATTTAACTTAATAAAAAAAATTTAAGTTAGATGTGAAATTTTAATATTTGACTTCGAAAAAAATAGATATTGATAACTAAAATGAATATTTTAAATTAACTTTAGGCACTACAAAGATGATAATCTAAGGGAATTTTTTTTAGAAATTAAAGAGAAATGTTAAAAGCTTAAAGATTTTCTAAAGGCTCATTTTTATAGTTAATAAATTAACCTTAAAAAAAGATTTACTAATTGTTATGTCAACATTTTATTTTAAATTTAATGACGAGATTTACAAAAGAGTAATAATAATCATTTTCATAACTATTAAAAATAATTAAATCAATAAAATAAAATTTAAGAATAAAATTCCTAAAATATAAAATTTTTGGACTAATCTAAAATTTTTTCAAAAGACCAGAGGACCACAGCCCCCAATCTTAACGTGGCCCCATCACTGCCGACGTGATAGAATTCGATGTTCACATTGAGTTTGCACATTAGGAGGTATATTGAGTAGGAAAATATGATATTAAAAATATAAAAGTGAAAAATATATATTAAATATAAAAAAAGTTGCTTAACGTATTACTAAATAATTTTATATTAAATGTAAATTTTATATTGAAATTCATATACATAATTTCTTACAAAATTTATTCCAATACGTTTACGTGGTGAACTAGGTAGCAAAATAATAGAACATTTTCAAAAGTTCTCTCACAATCTTTAATTTAAATTGTACTCTCTTCGTTTCTTTTTAGCAGATGGAGCAATAAAATAAAAATTAATAATTTATTGATAGAAGTTCATATTTATTTTTAATTAAATACTACTTAAATAAAATTTTTTTATTAATATATATTATAATTATCTTTTTAAAATGATAATAAATTAAAAATAAACACATTTAATGATACCTTAAAACAAATGGACAATTAAATTTAAAATCTCCAAATAAAAAATTAACTCTACTAAAAATGGAAGGGGAGAATAATAAATTTATCTCCGCGTTCCTTCTGAATTAATATAATCTTAATGGCTATTAATTATCTTTTATATTATACTCTAATTCAGCTATAAATCAGAAGGGATGTTCCTAAAAGTATTATTTTGCAAAGTCTGAATCAACATATTAACATATCTTCAAATTTCAAACTACTTAATTAATTTTCCCATTGGGCTATAACAAATCTAAAAAGTACCGTTCCATGCCCTGCGTGGCATTATATCAACCAATTGGCGTGCATTCTGCAAAACAACAGATCAATAAATAAGAGAAAATACTGATAAAAAATAAAGAAGAGAAAACTCTAGAAAAAAATTGTGGCCAAGAAAGTCAATTATTCATATTTCTATATGTTTAAAAGTTTTTTTAATAACTTGTATTTTAATTTGTGTTTTAAGAGTATAAATTTAAAATTTTAAAAAAATTTAAAAAATAATATTTAATTTATTAATGATTTAATTAAATTTATTCACATAATAATAATACTAAAATTAATATCTATTTTTATATTTTTTTATATAAATTTATAATAAAAAATATTTTTTAAAAATATAGATTAAAAAAATCCTAAATAGTTGATGTATAATCTCACCATTTATCTGAGTATTTTATTCCTTAAAAGTATGTTTTGCCCTGAAGCAAGTTTGCTCTGCCCAAGAACCGCATAGTTAATTATTAGCTTCTTTAATGAGAACTCAATTTGATTTTCTCCCAAATGCTTTAATTTCAACAATTGTTTCTCTTATCTTATAATTGTGCTATGATCCATTTCCTAAGGTCATTTAAGTTTGTAATCCATAATTAGCCTATATCTAACAATTTTATACATGCAGGAACTCCCTGATGGACAACATAAAATCAGCCACTGATATTGTGAAGGACGTTGGCCCTACAGTTTGGAAATATGTCAAGTATCAATTTTGTCCCAATGTTTATGTGGATCAATACGTAGCTGTGCAAAATAAGCTGAAGCGCCAACTAGATGACGTTGAGGCAAAATTAGAAACACAACTTAACCGGCCAGCAAAGAAAGCAAGGAGCCAAGTTGACAATTGGCTGGAGGAAGCGCGCAAAGAAACTGCCGTCAACGCTGAAGATCTGATCTGCAGAGAAAGCTATTTCAAAAATATTTGCTCATCAAGAAAGCTCGATGAAAAGACTGAAGCACTGAATGGAATATTTATGGAAGGAGAAAATTACATTAATGATAGTCAAAGTTTGGTCATAGATGATCAATCAATTGAGTATTGCACAATTGTATTCAAAGAAAAGCAAGAGCAGCTGAAGCTCCGGCAACAAGACATTGAGGCAAAATTGGGGACTCAGCGTATGCAACCTGGAAAGATTGCAAGGAAGGAAGTTGAAGACTGGATGGCGAAAGCAGGCCATCAAATTGCCATAAAGGTTGAAGACCTTATCAGCCAAGGGGAATGTTCTTCATCATCCAACCTTGAGAAAAAGATTGAAGAATTGAACCAAACATTTAAGCAAGGAGAAAAATACATGAATGCTGGTGAGAGTTTGGTCGTAGATGATCACTCAATGGGGTATTGTGCACCTGCATTCAAAGAAAAGCAAGGGAGGCTGAAGCACCAAAAGGAACTCATTGAAGCAAATTTGAAGACTGAATGTATGCAGCCTAGAAAGATTGCCAGGAAGGACGTTAAAGAGTGGCTGGAGAAAGCAAGCCAACAGATTGCCATAGAGGTTGAAGATCTAATCAGCCAAGGGGAATGTTCCTCATCAACCAACCTAAAGAAAAACACCGAAGAGTTGAAGCAAATGCTTGAAGAAGGAAAAGAATTCACTAATGCTGGTGTGAGTTTGGTCATAGATGATCACTCAATCAAAGGAGTTCCACTACTCGTTGAAGAATGCAGGGGCAGGGATGATATACAAGATCAAATTCTGGAATGGTTGAAGGGAGATGGGGTTACAAGAATTGCAGTTTTGGGAATGGGCGGTGTGGGCAAGACAACAATTATGAAGCAAGTCCACAACCATCTGTTGAAAGAATCCAAATTTATCAAAGTTTTTTGGGTAAAAGTGTCAAGAGACTTTGACATTATTGTCCAGCAAAAAAGGAAGTTTGATACTCTCAAGTTTCAGAAAGGGATTGCAAGTAGCTTGGAATTAGAACTGGAGCCAGAGGATCATGAGAATGAAACCAGGCTTGTAGGATTGATTTCACAAAAGTTGAGGCAAGGCAACTCTGTGCTAATTCTAGATGATGTGTGGCAGCAATTTTGTCTAGAAGATGTTGGAATTCCTATTCTAGATGGAAATAATGGTTGCAAGTTAATATTCACAACGCGGTTACAAGAAGTTGCTCATGCAATGGAGTGTGAGGTGATCTCTGTGAATCCTTTTCCACCTAAAGAAGCATTAGAATTATTCTTGGAGAAAGTTGGAAGTGCAGTGTTATCAGATGGCAGAATTAAAGTAGATATAAAGCCATTTTTGGAGCAAATTTTGCAGAAATGTGGTGGAGTACCTCTTGCTATAGTGACAATGGCAAAATCAATGAGAGGGAAATTACTTCCTCGTCATTGGAAGTTGGCACTATCTGAATTTAGTAAATTTGAAAGCATTATTGATTGTTTGAAATTCAGTTATGAATGCCTAGAACCACAATGCCAAGAGTGTTTCCTATACTGTGCATTGTATCCTGAAGATGCTGGAATCTACAAGGAGTTAATTGAGTATTGGATTGAGGAGGGACTTATATATAAAGAAGGGATAACTAGGGAGGCAATGAATTGGAAAGGTCATGATATACTTGATAAGCTGGTTGACAGTTGCTTGTTGGAGTTGGTTAGAGGCAGTGAATATCGTGTGAGTATGCATGATCTTCTCCGAGAAATGGCATTGGAAATCAATCCTCAATTCTTGGTGAAAGCTGGCATGGCCTTGGAAAAGTTACCAGAGGAGGATGAATGGAGAGAAGATCTTTTGAAGGTTTCTTTAATGAGGAATCACATAACAGAAATTCCTTCAAGCATGTCATCCCCAAAGTGTCCTATGCTCACAACCTTGCTATTGTCCAATAACAATATTTCAACCATTCCAGAAGCTTTTTTTGAGCATATGCTTGGGCTCAAGGTTCTTGATCTTTCCAATAATCGTGAGCTAAGTAGGCTGCCGACTTCTATTTCCAAATTGGAGAAGCTTACTACATTATTGTTGGAGGATTGTAAGTCCTTGAGAGACGTATCATCTTTATCCAACCTTGTAGGCTTAAAAAAGTTGGACTTTTCCAGGACATCAATTGAAGAACTACCACAACGCCTCAACATGTTAACAAATCTAAAATATCTTGGTCTTGGTGGAAGATTATCTGAAAAACTTGATGAACCGCTACAAAATCTCTCCAAACTTCAGCATTTACTAGTAATTGCCAATCCCGATGCCAAAACAAAATTTAAATGGGAGAAGATTGGAATTTGGGGGAAGCTTCAAAACCTTGAGAAGCTGGATCTTCGTTCTTTGCATAACTTGAATATGGTGTTTGGGGAAGTAGGAGCAATTGCTGAGTCAGCATCGCTACCAGCTGGCACATTTTCCTCTCTTCAATATATTAATGTTGAGGAATGTGATCGACTAAAGAAGTTATTCTCGGTAAGGTGGTTGGGATATCTCCAGAAACTGCAGACTATTGAGGTTAAAGATTGTGAGCAACTGGAGGAGATAATAGGGTTTGAATATGAGGAAGGATACAAAGTCACTCTACCCAACTTAGAAAGGTTGAAATTGACCGAATTACCCCAATTGAAGACCATCTATAGCGGTTCTTTGATTTGTGATTCTATCAAGAAGATTGAAATTTACGATTGCAAAATTATAGAGAGTGTTTTTTGGTTGGGGTTCAACCCACTTCCAAATCTTGAATATCTAGACCTTCATCATTTACAGAATCTGAAATTTCTGTTTGATGAAGAAGGTCTTGGTTTATCGCCACTTGTACCTCCCACAAGCTTTTTCTCTCTTAAAGAAATTATGGTTATTAATTGTTATCAATTAAAGAAGGTATTCTCATTTGGATGGCTGCTTCGCTACTTCCAATCTCTAGAGACTATTAAGGTTCAAGGGTGTTGGCAAATGGAGGAGCTGATATCGTCATCGGCAGATGTAGAAGAAAAAGTCACTCTATCCAAGTTACAATGGTTGAAATTGATCGACTTGCCCAAATTGAAGACCATCTGTAGCGGTTCTTTGATTTGTGATTCCATCAAGAAGATTGAAATTTTTAAGTGTAAAAATATAGAGAGTGTTTTTTGGTCAGGGTTCAACCCACTTCCAAATCTTGAATATCTAGACCTTCGCCATTTACAGAATCTGAAATCTGTGTTTGATGAAGAAAGTCTTGGTTTATCGCCACTTGTATCTCCCACAAGCTTTTTCTCTCTTAAAGAAATTAGGGTTGATAGGTGTAATAAATTAAAGAAGGTCTTCTCATCTGGATGGCTGCTTCGCTGCTTCCAGTCTTTAAAGACTATTGAGGTTGAAAGGTGTTGGCAAATGGAGAAGCTGATATCGTCATCGGCGCATGAAGAAGAAAAAGTCACTTTACCCAAG